GTGCTATACAGTAGGTCCCTGTTGTTTATCTATTTTATATATAGTAGTCTGGAATTTGGAATCCCAAATTCCAAATCTATCCCTCCCCTCCCTTTCTCCTTTGGTTTGTTTTCTATGTCTGTGAGTCATTTTCTGTTTTGTAAATAAGTTCATTTGTATCATTTTTTTAGATTCCACATATAAGTGATATCATATGATCTTTGTCTGACATTTCACATATAAGCAATATCATATGATATTTGTCTTTCTCTGTCTGGCTTACTTCACTTAGTATGATAATCTCTAGGTCCATCCATGTTGCTGCAAATGGCATTATTTCATTTTTTATGGTTGAATAGTATTCCACTGTATGTACCACATCTTCTTTATCCATTCCTCTTTTGATGGACATTTAGGTTGCTTCCATGTCTTAGATATTGTGAACAGTGCTGCAATGAGCATGTATGTGCATGTATCTTTTCGAGTTAGAGTATTCTCCAGATATATGCTCCATGCTGATCACATGGTTACTCTATTTCTGGTTTTTTAAGGAACCTCCATACTGTTCTCCATGATGGCTGCACCAATTTATGTTCCCACCAACAGTGTAAGAGGGTTCCCTTTTCTCTGCACCCTCTCCTCCGCTGAAGTCTTGAACCCCTCAAAGTCATTCACAAGGGTTGGGATCAACTATTTCCACACTCTTGTGTATGTTGATATCTTGACATCTTCCCGTGGATCACAAGTGTTCTTAACGGCATCTAGAATGGTGAACCCTTCCCAGACTTTTCAACTGACTGTGCCCAGATCCATCAGAGCAATCACTGTCTATGGGAGTTATAGCAGCCTTTCAAGTCATATTTCTTAAATAATAAGACTAGAAAGTCAAAATTACTTTCTGATCCATGGGCTGCAGAGTGGATGTTGTGTTAGAAGACATGAAAACAACATTAATCTCGTTGTACATCTCCATCAGAGCTCTTGGGTGACCAGGTGCATTGTCAATGAGCAATAATGTTTTGAAAGGAATCTTTTTTCAGAGCAGTAGGTCTCAACAGTGGGCTTAAGATAGTCAGCAAACCATATTGTAAACAGATGTGCTGTCATCCAGGCTTTGTTGTTCCATGTATAGAGCACAGGCAGAGTAGATTGAGCATAACTTTTGAGGGCCCTAGGATTTTCGGAATGGTAAATGAACATTGGCTTCACCTTAAAGTCACCAGCTGCATTAGCCCATAATAAGGGGGGCAGCCTGTCCTTTGAAGCTTTGGAGCCAAGCATTGGCTGCTCTCTAGCTATGAAAGTCTCAAACGGCATCTTCTTCCACTGTAAGGCTGTTCGTCTATGTTAAAAATCTGGTGTTTAGTGTAGCCACCTTCATTAAGTGTCTTGGCTAGATCTTCTGGATAACTTGCTGCAGCTTCTACATCAGTACTTGCTGCTTCTCCTCACACTTTTATGTTATGGAGACGGCTTCTTTCCTAAACCTCACGAACCAGCCTCTGCCAGCTTCAAACTTTTCTTCTGCAGCTTCCTCACCTCTCTCAGCCTTCACAGAATTGAAGAGAATTAGAGCCTTGCCTTGGGTTAGGCTTTGGCTTAAGGGACTGTGGTGGCTGATTTGATCTTCTACTCAGACCACTACAACTTTCTCCATATCAGCAATAAGCCTGTTTCACTTTCTTATCATTCATGTGTTCACTGGAGTAGCATTTTTAATTTCCTTCAAGAACTTTTCCTTTGCATTTACAACTTGGCTAACTGGTGCAGGAAGCCTAGCTTTCAGCCTCTCTGAGCTTCTGGCATGCCTGCCTCACTAAGCTTGATCATTTCTAGCTTTTGATTTAAAGTGAGAGACGTGTGACTCTTCCCTTCACTTGAACACTTAGGGACCACTGCAAGGTTATTAACTGGCCTAATTTCAATATTGCTGTGTCTCAGGGAATGGGGAGGCCTGAAAAGGGGAGAATGGGGAACAGCTGGTTGGTGAAACAGAGCACACAAACATTTATCAATTAAGTTCGCTGTCTCACATGGCTGCGGTTTGTGGCTCTGCAAAACAGTTACAGTAGTAACATCAAAGATCACTGATCACAGGGGCTTCCCTGGTGGCGCAGTGGTTGAGAGTCCGCCTGTCGATGCAGGGGACGCGGGTTCGTGCCCCGGTCTGGGAGGATCCCACGTGCCGCGGAGCGGCTGGGCCCGTGAGCCATGGCCGCTGGGCCTGCGCGTCCGGAGCCTGTGCTCTGCGACGGGAGAGGCCACAGCAGTGAGAGGCCCGTGTACCACAAAAAAAAAAAAAAAGATCACAGATCACTGTAACAAATATAATAATAATGACATTTGAAATAATGTGAGAATTACCAAAATGTGACACAAAGTGAGCAAATGCTGTTGGAAAAATGGTGCCGATAGACTTGCTCAACGCAGGGTTGCCACAAACCTTCAACTTGTAAAAACAAAACAAAACAGAAAAACATGCAATAGTTACGAAGCACAATAAAACGAGGTGTACCGGGACTTCCCTGGTGGTCCAGTGGTGAAGAATCCACCTTACAATGCGGGGGATACAGGTTCGATCCCTGGTCAGTAAACTAAGATCCCACATGCCGCAGGGCAGCTAAGCCTGCACACCACAACTGCTAAGCTTGCGCGCCTCAACTAGAGAGCCTGCAGGCCACACGCTACAGAGCCCACGCACTCTGGAACCCGCACACCACAACTACAGAGCCCGCGCATCCTGGAGCCCGTGTGCCACCAACTAGAGAGAGAAAATCCGCATGCCACGACTAGAGAGAAGCCCATGCACTGCAATGAAGAGCACGCGCACTGCAACAGAAGATCCCGTGTGCCACAGCTAAGACCCGATGCCGCCAAAAATAAATAAATAAATAATAATAAAAATAAAACGAGGGCTTCCCTGGTGGCGCAGTGGTTGAGAGTCCGCCTGCCAATGCAGGGGACACAGGTTCGTGCCCTGGTCCGGGAAGATCCCACATGCCACGGAGCGGCTGGGCCCGTAAGCCATGGCCACTGAGCCTTCGCGTCCAGAGCCTGTGCTCCACAACGGGAGAGGCCACAGCAGTGAGAGGCCCGCGTACCACAAATAATAATAATAATAATAAAACGAGGTGTACCTACACTGTAATCCAAGGCAGAAAGTGATCAGAGCCGTCCAGTTTCTGTGGAAATTAAAAGAATGGAGTAATTACCTTTAGGTGGGATTTTTTTTAAATCTTCATGGAGCTTTGAAGGAGTTTTGAAGGATCAGTAGAATTCTGCAAAATACCAATGGGCATGGAGGCATGCCAACTGGGGGAAACAATACGTGCAAAGGTATAGAAATAAGAAAAAGTGTATGTAGACATGTTTAGAAAACAGTGAAAAATCCAGGTTGGCCGGAAATAGTAGTGGCTAGAGGAGTTTCAGGGATAATCTAGGAAGGCCAGTTGGTACCATATTGTGGCAGGTCTTGGATGCCTAGCTGGGGCCCTTAAAGATTGGTAGGCAATGCAGAGCCAGTTAAGGCTTCTTAAAGGGGAGTGACTTGTTGAGAGCTGTTCTTTGCATGCCTGGTTCCATCTCATTCTTTGGGTCCCAGTTTAAATGCTCCCTCTTCAAAGGTCCGTCCCTCACTCTAAGGAGGTTCTCACCTGCAACTCTGAATTGCCACATCCCGTTGGTTTCCTACAAAACACTTGTAGGAAAGTTGTCATATCTGTCTAGCAACCACGTGGCAAGTTCCAAGTTCTTTAAACACCAGCCAATCCAGAGTATTCACTCTCCCGCACATAGGGCTGTCGTTCTGTAGGGCACACAGCATGGTGTCCCATTCACTGCAGTTTAGTGGTGCCTGACACACAGTAGGGGCTGAATTATCTGGTGACTAAATAATACCCCATCCTTTCCTGGCTTCTCTTTGTCACATTCCCTCTGCCTAGAAGGCCCTCCCTCCGCACTTCACCGTCATCATTTTTCTATCTGCCACGGTTCTTCCCATCTTTCTATGAATGCATAGTTCAGGTGCTGTCAGCCCAGTTACACAACCTCCCAATCCTGAACCCCCTCAGCTCTTGTGTTCCTCTGGTGGCATTATGTGCGCCCTGCCTAATATTTTAGTGATTTGTAACCTAACCTTTTCTTGTCTCCTTGCCCTTCCCAACAGCTCTCTGAAGGCCTGGATTTTGTCTTTCTTGTGTCTTCCTTTTCAAATAATATTTGAGTTGAATTATAAGTACTTGGTAAAAATTAAGAATAACATTCATGTGACATTTGAGCAGTGTATTAGATTTTAAGGAATTAGGAAACAGTAAGAAGTAATACTGAGTGAAAAGACATTGCTGACAGAAAATGAAATTGAATTTCCAAAAGGATATAACCATTCTAATGTTATATGATACATTTAAGGCAGAATTCATTATCCCAAAAGGTAGTTTACTTGGAAGTGGGCTAAGAGCATTTCTCTGAAAAGTTTTGTCTATGTATAGTGAATTATTCTAATAATTTTATTGAAATATTATGCATATATTCATTGAAACTTTGTTTGATATGTCTCCAAGAAGTAAATTCCTTGAATTATTTTTCTGCTTAGTTGAAACTTTACCCATCAGAGAAGAGGTGTATTGTCATGTAATGTTTATCAACAGCAACAACTAACAATAGCTTCTGGTTATTGAACAATTCCAACATGCCTAGCATGTGATAAGCAGCTTTCCTGTTGTACCATTTAAATCTCACTGTAATATGTTATAGATGCAACACTGACATTTGGGTAAATTGTTCATTGATCATTAATTGAGTATCAGAAGCTGGGCTGCAAACTCAGGCTGGCAAATTTCGAAGCCCTTGGCTGCCTGGGCTAAATGTTCTAGGCCAGGAATTCTTTTCCCGCACATCACTGCCTGGGCCTCTCAGGAAATGCTTTCTGCTGTGGCTTTCAAGATGCAACTTGGCTGTGAAAAGGAGGCAACTTGTAGACCTCAGTTTTCAACTTTCTTTTTTTTTTTTTTTGGTGGCAGGAAGAGAAGTTAAACTTCTAGAGAAACCTAATGGACGATCTCCACAACAGGTAAGCTGTTCTTTTTTGTGTGCTTTGGGAAGAAAGTCTGTTCTTTCCACTTTCCATTACATTTTATATTATTCGGTCTTCCACTACAGTTCTTATTACCTGAAACATTAAAGCCAGTAGACAGAGCAATCCCCAAAGTCTATTCTTTCTGACTCATTCAGGTTTGAGTAGAATTCTGTTATTCCCGTTTTACTTTTGTTGTTTAGGGGATACAGTTCTAAAACGGGACAAATGGTATGACCATACAAGTCTTCACACTGAAAGGTTTACAATATGGGGCTGAATCAAGAAGGCTGAGTGTTACCTTGTTTGAGCTCAGCTAGAAACGTGCACCTCAGGCCACTCCAAGTTTTCACCATTCTGCACATGCCCAAAAATGACCCCCAAAACACAGCAATTATTCATCTAGAACTTACAGTTAAATTTTAGCCAGTAGATAAATTCACAACTATGGAATCCACAAATAATGAGGACCAATTGTACACATAAAGCACGTGGATTAACACCGGGTACATAGGAAGCTCTGTGTAAGTTTGCTGTTTTTATCATCATCTTCATTATTCTATGTTATTAAATATCCTGAGGGTCTTAGACACCTTTGAAAAGTTTTAGGCCCGGGGAAATGATAAGATTCAGATTTATGTGACTTAGATCATGTGACTTCCATGTGGCAAATGTATTATTTTAGAAGACACAGGTGGATGCAGGAGACAAGAGGATTTTGCAGTAAATTCAGGTAAGAAAAAAGTGATAATGTTTTAGGACGAGGCAAGGGTGGTGCACACGTAGAGAAAAGAGTGGGCTTACTAAAAAAGAGAGTGTAAGTGGTAGCATCCCCTGGAATGTGGTCCAGAACCCCACCAGCCCCATTATCTGCTCACCTGTGGCCACAAGTCTTCTCCAGTCTTTTCCCAAGATTACTCGGGTGCTCCTTGCCTTATGTAACATGTTACATGACATAGTTTAATCTCATACTTTTAATATGCTATTAGTCATGTATTTATATGTCTGTCTTCCTTGCTAGACTGTGAACTCTTTTCAGCTCCCTGGAATCGAGTTCAGTACCTGTACGTAATAGGTGCTCAGGAAACATCTGGCGCATGAATGATGGGTGGTGAGCCCTTTAACAAACTGCGGAGATCTCTACCTCTTTGTGTCCTAGTTACTAGCAGAGTGTCTTGTCCTCAGTTAAGTGCTCAGGGATATTTGAGACCTCAGAACCATGCTCAGTCTTTTCAAGTGCAAAAACTATTTTTACTGTACTTCAGAGAAACATTGGTGACCCAATTCTGCACATATAGGGTTTTCTGCAAACATGGGACAATCTGTTTTTTCTTGTCCTCTGACCAGTCCATGCTTCCAGCCTTGAGTCCAGAAGCACATTTATAAAATAAGGTGGTTGGGTGGTAGGATGTTTTCTAAGATTCGCTGAGGTTTGGGCATCTAGGATACTGGGAATTACCCAGAACTACTTCACTGTAAGCATCCAGCCCTGAGCTGTGCTTGCTTTTAAAGCTATCATTATTTATAGCTTTACAAGACTGTATTATATAAACGTCTCCCCACGTCGCCTCTTCTGCAACTTCCTCATCATTTCCAGAACTTAACTTTTTCTAAATGCTTCAGGTTTCTCCCAGACTTCTCCCACCTCCCAGATAAGGCTGCTTATCAGTGTTGGAGACATACTGTGTGTTGGAGACACGCCTAATTCCCACGCGGTTTCAGGGAGAATTTGGTCAGAACATCACCCATTTCTATTCACAGTGTCTAAAAGTCATTAAGCCAGTGGTTACATAATATTCTCATGGACAATGGCCGTGAAGATGAGAGCAGCCCACATTTACTAAGAACCTACTACTTGCCAGTCATACTTTGCCAAGCCCATCACGTGTGTAAGCCATGTGATTCTCATAGGAACCCTGCACAATTAGATGTTACTGTTTCCCCTGTCTAATGGTTGGCAAAGCTGAGATTCAGAGAAGTTAAGCAGCTTACTCAAGGTCATGCAACTTAGAACAGGCCAGTCCAGATTTTGACTCCAGAGCCCACTCCCTTCATTACAATAGACTGTCTTCTGTGTCCTGGATCTTAAAATTCTTCCTCCTCTTCTTCTGAACCCACATATGATTTTATACATGTACTTTGACAGTCCTTCTGTTAACGTGGCCGTAAAAATGAAATCAACCACGCACTAATGCAAGAGTGTCTCGGATGTTTTTAAGCAGATTCTCTACTAAAGATTGGTGATGCTGAGCTTCCAATCAGCCAGAGTCAAGATCAGCCCCAAGCTGAGTTGAGATGAGTTTTGTCAGATGATACGGTTACTATGGTGGTCAAGAGTATGAAGGAAGGCGGCCACTGAATCCCACATGAAAAAGACATAGAACTGCACGTGTTAAGTGAAAACACGTCATCTTCACTTCAAATTTTTGAAATCCTCTTCTCAAATACACTCTGTTTGTACCATCTGAAGATTCTCCAAAGTGTACTTGTTCATACTCCCTGAAACTAAAAAACACCCAGAAGGTCATGGCCTGCCCCCCTCTTCAGTTGGGTCTGAATCTTGGTGCTGTGGTCATGTATCCCCGATAATGATCTGGTTTGGTTTGGTGTTCAGTGATAGGGTATATTGGTTCATCAGTGAACAAGATTCTACCCAAGTAGTCGAATTCAGGGTAAATACCTAAGCCCGTATCATTGATGATAAATTGTCATTTTAAGTGAGATTGCTTACGTGATTAGTTGAGCTCTCTATAACGTCTCGTTCACTTCAGAGCTGTCTATGATCATCTGCTTGACCTCCTCAAGGCATACTTCAAAAGCAATTGATAAGCACATGGTGATATCTGGATTACCAACTCTGTCTTAAACTATTGAATTAGAGACTCACTGAAGGCTTTAGGGGCATATTAAAAATAAACTTCCTGCCACTACATTGATAATGGGGAATGGGTTAATACGGCCAGGTGCCCATGTGAATAATAGGAGATACCCTTCGTATTTTAGTAGACATGAGGAACATCGAAACGTATATTAACCGCCGTCACCCACACGCGTGAATGATGTTGAGTACTTTCACGAGATTACTAAATGCGAAGGTCCATGTGTCCCCCATACATTCTCCAGTGGCAGTTTTAGAATATATATAGGAAGAGTTTAAGAGCTTGGAAGGGAAGATAGGAGACTTGTCTGGAAGTTACATTACACAGCAAACAAACTGATTTTGGGTGGGAAAGGGAAGAGAACTTGATGGAGTTGATGGAGGGGCTAAAGTCCCTTCCCCAGCCACTGTGGACACCCCCTCCCATGTCAGGTATGCAACAAGCAGCAACCTATACAATAGATAATACCAATTTTTGCAGAGTCCAATACTGTTATTGTATATTACTTAATAACTTAGCTAGAAAGCCTTTGACCAGGATATTATTTGTATTAGGCAAGGTCCAGCCAGGAATGGGAACTCTTCCTTTCAGACAGAGGGACATTATAATCAGTGGGTTTTTATGTGGGTATTGGAAGAGCTGGGAAACCAAATGAGATGGTGAGGCAACACAGAGATGATCGAGGCAGGGAGACATTACCACCCCAGGATGAGACACAGAACCAGATGCTGGGGCAATGGCTGGAGCCATGGTGAGGCACCATGGTTCTATCTGGCACCATGGAGGGTGGGGCTCTTGGGTATCTATTGCTGTGGAGGAGATCTGGCCACTACCAGGATGAACAGCATACTGTCCGAAGTAGAGAGAAAGGGAAACATACCTTGACATCCCCCATCCTCCCCCTCTAGTCTTCCACCAGCACCTTCCACTGGTGGGACTACCCCGATCCAGAGGGCAAGGGTTCGTCAGCATTACGGTGCCTTGAGAAACTGAGTGGGCAAGGGGCAGGGACCAGTCTAAGAGCAGACAGGCAGTAGACCAGCCCAATGTCTTGGGTTTGTTTCATCTGTTCCTCAGTTAGTAAACATTTAGGTTGTCCAGATTGACCCCCTATTATTGGACACGTGGTTTATTTTAACTTTTTCCTGTTATAACGCCCATAGAGAAGGATAAAATAACATAAATTAAAAACTGTTAAAAAGCAAATTCTGAAAAACAGACAGAATTTTTAGAAACCTAACAGGATTGTAAACTGCACCAATTGGGAGTGCAATTGGCAGTAATGACTACAGGTATTAGTTTTGGCCAACTTGGTTTGGGCCATATCATCAGTCACCAAAAGGGGCCAGTGGTAATTGTAGCCACCTCACTGTTGCCAGGAACTTCCCAAGCCACAAGCGTTCTTAGGGTGTTAGTCCTTCCCCTTTAAGTAGAGCTCACCTAGACCAACCAGCAACATAGCAAAACAAAGAGGCCTGCCTGCCTTCATTTCCATAAAGCCGTAAAGCAGGAACTCTCAAAGTGTGGCCCCCAGAGGGCAGCATTAGCACCCTGGGAGCTCGTTAGAAATGAGAGTTATTGCCCGCACAGACCCAGGAGGATGTCTTATGGACCCCGTTCCCTCTGCCTCTCAAAGTGCTCACGAGGATCCCCGCCCCTGTCACCCATACACCCTAGTCTTTATTCAATAATGAGCTGCAGCTCATCTGATCCAGACAGGAGCCTACTCCCAGGAGTTTACAGTCCAGAGAATAGGGGCATAGCTTCTCAAACTTTCCCTAGAACTGTTCCCACCAAGAGTACAGGGAGAAGGAACTGGTCTAGAGGGCTACCAACAGAATTTGAAATTTTCTGCAGAGCAGAAATTGAGACACAGAAGTAGAGAAAAAACGTATGGACACCAAGGGGGGAAAGCGGCGGGGGGTGGGGGTGGGGGTGGGATGAACTGGGAGACTGGGATTGACATGTATACACTGATGTGTATAAAATGGAGGACTAATAAGAACCTGCTGTATAAAAAAATAAATTAAATTAAATTAAAAAAATACATTTATATGAAATTGCAAAGAGCTAAAAATATCCAAAAACATCTTTTAAGAAAACAAGATAGAAGAACTT